CRGGTCTGTGGGTCTGGGACATCCCTTCAACTACGCCCCAGGACACTCTCTGCACACTTCCATGAGTCACGGGGACGTTAATTTGCTCTGTTTTAAAAACACTTGCCAACCCCAGACCAACGGATTGTTCACACCGAGGCCGGGTCCAAACTGAAGGGCAGAAGATGAAGCGGCGGAGGGCGTGTTCGCCTGAGCTCGGTGGGAGGGACTGGGTGCTGCCTCCCTCAGCCTCTGGGGCTCGGCTCGCAGGACAGAGGAGTTAGGCAGAGGGCCTCACCCCGAAAGGTGCCTGTGCTGGGGGACGGGGTGCAGGGGGGTGCACCCAGAGCAGAACCCCAGTCACCAGCCAGGTGGACTGCGCAGAGCCCTCGAAGTCTCCAGGGAAATGCAGCCCAGAGTCCCAAGGGCCCCATGAAGTCTGGCTCAGACACTGGGCCCTGCGACCTCAGCCAGCAGCCCAGCCCTGAATGCCTCCTTCCACTCACACGTGGAGAGGCAGCGAGGGCCGGCCCGGGTGCCAACCCTGGGACCCGCAGGTAAGTAAGGGGCAGGTCGGGCCAAGGTGGGGTGAGCAGGGTGGGGTGYCACTTAGAACCCAGACAGGCCTGGGGAAAGTTTCAGGGTCCTGAGAATTAGATGGGAGGTTCGCTAGGACATAGAAGGTTCTGGAAAAGCTAAATAGGCCTGGTCCGTGACAGTGCCTGCTCTCTGCCCAGAGGYGTCTGGTACTGATGAGATGAAACCCAGCTTTGGTGAGTGTAAAAGCAGAAACGGGAGGACGATCGGCGAGTGCTGCCTTCCTGGCTGCGGAGGCTGGGCGTTCTTTAACTTTCCTTGAATAACTGGTCTCCACTTTAACCAGTTAGGATCCGTGAAGCACCGGYGGCTGGCTCCTTCTGAATTTTCTTATTTTGTAATAATAGTCTCATGACTCATTATTATTATTTTTTTAAATAAAAGATGTTCCAGGAAGAACAAACAAATAGTCATTCTGACTTCTTCCCTCCCCTCTCTCTCTTTCTCCCTCCTTTCTCCCTCCTTTCTCCCTCTCTCTCTCTCTCACTTGATGTTTGCATTCATTTCAGTAATTAGAAGGATTTCTGAGCCCATCCATCGATCACTATTTCTGAGGCACCTACTGTGTGTGCAGTTGCTAAAGAAAGTCCCGTTAGCTCAGGGATCACGAAGCAGTTYGCAGCCGCGTGGCGGCCCAGCAGGGCCATCTGTAAGCTCGTCCACGCTTGGAGGCGAGAGTGTCCAGGAGAGGCTGCGGGCTCTCCTGACACCAAGGCCGTTTCCCTTCCCTGGCGGAGCGGCAGAGCCAGGGCAGAGCAGAGTCTAGAACTCTCCACCCGGTGCAGGTGCACCGGGCTGTGCAGCTATGAACTTGGGACGACGGAGGGGCTGCTTGCTCRACGAGAGGGAGGACCTAGCATGGCTGTCAGGTCCTGTGTGAGCAGCAGCTGTGAAGGGGACACGGTGGCAGTGCCGAGGGAACAGGAGCTGGAGAAGTGGGCAGAGGGACCCGGTCAGCCTGGACGGGCAGCATGATTCCTGCTGCCCCTCAGACCATGAGGCAAAGGGGCAGGAGAGAACAGGGCCCCCGAGGTGTGTTCCTGTTCCAGACCCTGCTGCCYAGTGACCAGCTCCTCTTCTGCAGGGCAGAGGGGAGAGGGGCCAGGAGAGTCAACCGAGTGAACCTGCTGTCCCCTGGACACCAGGTTTCCTTTAGGGGTTCACAGAGGTAAATGCCCTGATCAGCAAGCCACCACAGGCCCAGAGACACCTCCTCGGAGCAGCCGGTCCCAGTGTCCTCTTGTGGATTGCACCAAGCTCCTCCCTGAAACACCCCTACGTCCCCCCACCTGGACGCCTACTGCAGCTCTCTTGAAAAGTCTGAGAACTCCTCCCRTCCCTCGGCACCCCCTTTGTGCCCAGGTCCACCTGCCCCCAGCCTCACCCCCTTCCTCAAGTCCCACCAGGACACGGCCTGCGGGAAGTTCAAGTTCACGCTCACATTTCAGTATCTACTCTGCAGTTTTCTCTTGATTCTTATCCCTCCCCTCCGTTTGCACCTAACAGGTGGCCGTGTCCCTTCTGATTCTTCTGTAGACTAATGAACTTCAGAAGCAGCCACAAAGCAAGGAAATATTTCCTAATTCTTATTTTCATCCAGAGGTGAACGAAAATATCATTTTGGGAGATAAAAAAAAAAAGCCCTGGTGGGAGTCAAAGGGTAAAGAGATCAGAGGGAGACGGGCTTGTTTTTCATCTGCAGTTATTAGCAGCRTCTCGGGGAGACGATTTGAAATCCATTCACAACTTCTCAGGTGTGGGCAGAACACATAATTAGAGAGGCCACGGAGGGACCTTTTTGGCAAGTCTAGTTACCCCCMAAAATCACAGATGGGAGAACCCGAAGCGCTGGTAACTTGACCTCCCCAGAGGCCGGCTCCGTCTTGCGTGCTTGGTCCAAAAAGCAATCCCACCAACCATCTCCAAGAACCGTCTGCGCCAACTTCTGGAAATAAGTGAACTTACAATCTTTGGAAATCAATGCAGCCTGAAAATGACTCACCGAGTGGCCACGATCCAGTTTCCTAAGATGGTCCCAGGCCCGCAAAGCCCCAAATATGGACAGAAGCTTTGGAAAATAAGGGCCAGGTGAACTGGGCCCTGAGCACCAGCCCTCCTTGGGCAGGCCTTGGCTCCACGTGGACAGGAAACATCAACCCTAAAGAGACCTGGCCTGCCCGCCCCTCGCCACCTGGAGGCAAGGGCCTGGGGCTGGGCACCCGGGAAGACCACTGGACAGTGCCAAACCCACAGCTTCTGTGAGCATCACAAGACCTTTGGGAAGGGTTGCGATTCTAACCCTTCAGCTGGTCCAGGCTGGAGGAGGGGGTGCGGTTTGGAGCGAGTTAAAGGGGGTGGCCAGCACATTTGGAGATCGGACGCCAACCAGACAGAATTTCAATGAACACACTTAAGCCTTACCATGCACAAGTGGCCCACAGCTACCTCTGGACCCCTCGCTTTCTGGGAATTAGAAGATGTTTCAAAGATCACAGTGTGGAGCATTTGTAAATAAAACCCTGATTTAAAAAAGTCTGTTTATACCAAGTCACCAATATCTGATGATATTTCACCTAAAATAATATCCTGTCTTTCCTCTCATCTCTTGCCCACCTATCTCCATCCATCTAACTAAAATCCGAGAGAGGCAAATCGGCGCTAAGATCACTTCCCTAAAGCACTCCTCGTTGACTTCCCTTCCCTTCTCTTCGGGAATAAAAGTCTGCCATGAATGTTTCATTAAGAGGAAAACAGTCTTTTCACTGCCGTCGACCAGCGGTATGCAGGCTTTTCCTTTGGTGAGGTGGGGTGTGTATGCGTGTGTTTAAAACAGTCCCTATTAATTTCCTGAAACCGACTCTGGCTGGGAGAGCGTGTGGCATTCAGCATAGAGGTCCTCTGCAGAATATGTTAAAGGCAGCGGCTTGGATGGAGAGAGGGCACCAAATGCAGTATGCGTCAAACAGACCATGGCTCAATGAAGTCACTTAGCTATTCAAAACATGTTCAGCCGTCACTCAACCATTCGCACCAAGAATGTTGGGAAGGGGACATGGAATTTGTGCTCTCTCCCAGACGTAACCATTTCCCAAAGAGCAGCTTTGGCTCAGTTTGGGTCAGACCCTGGGGCCACATTAGTTTCTGCCTCTGCTGTCCGATTCTCTCTCTTCTCCCCCACCTCCTGGCCTCCCTCCCTGCATCGCCATCCCATGTCCAGCTTAGCAAACAATCCTGCGGTGCCTGCTTCCCAGACACGGCCTCCGGTCTTGGTTCACATCAGAAGCAGAGCACATAAACCCCGCTTTCCACGCAGACACATATGCACCTCGGTGCACGTCTCCCTATGGGTGGCTCATGCACACAGACATATAGCTATGCAAATGCCCTCGCTCACATGAAAGTCTGTTGCCAAATGCAGCTCGTATGACCCGCAGAGTTTTTTCTGTGTGTCCCACGGCACACGCCTTCATGCACACCCTGCCTCACAGCCTCGACACCATGAGGGCCCCCTGGCCCACAGAACCCTGCACACATGCCTCAGTAGTCAGCGCCAACTACTGACCCCCCTCCCCGGCCTCACTGCTCCCCCATTCCCCTCAACCTCCCCATGCCCGCGCCTCCCTCCCTCCCTCCCCCTCCCTCCCTGCACAATGCTGACTCCACTCGCTGCTGGATGACAGACATGTCACTCTGTGTGAAAGGGAATTGGTCCTCAGCCTAACCCGCAAGTGAATTGCTGTTTATTAGAACTTGGGCTTGTTTCCTGTGAGAGACGTATGTATTTTTAGACTTTGTAAACGTTAACACACACACATGCACATGCAGCCAGCCGCCTCGAACGATCTGTGTGGCTCATAGACATTACGAAATGCTCTTGAACTCAGCCTGAGATCCTGGAATAATTAGGATTTACCAAATAAGGATTCTTAGAAATAGCAGTTTTTTTTTTTCTTTTTTAAAAAAGAAAGAGATTTAAAGAGGGCGATGCGTCTGAGACTTTCGGAGAGTCAGGGGAGAGGAGGAGGAGGACGTTTTTGAATTCTTCATGGCCAGCAGATGAGCATCACTGAGGGAAGCAATTATTTCCCCTCCTCATAGATGGAGGGCTAAACCTAAAGCAAATCCTAATGATTCCGGTGCAGGCAGAGCCCATTTGACTTTTAAAGACATTCTCTGGTTTCCATCATATCATGGATGGTGCCAATGAAGAGGTCGGGGAAGGGGGCGGTGGAGGGAGAGAGTGGAGTAGGGTTTTTGCTTATTGATTTTCTTTCCTCTGAAACTAACCCGACCAACCTTGATCCGTGGTGGAAGGGAGGAAAGTGAGAAAATGGTGGAATGTAAAGGGGACTTATTTGGAGGAGGGTGGGGAGGGGGAATGGGGAGGGGAGGGGCGGGGGAGGAGGAGATGGGAAATCAAATACCTTCTAAGCAGCAGGTTCTCCATAACCCAGAATGGGTCATAACTTCCTCGTTCTTTTTGCTGGTTTCATTCTCACTGACACTTTTCGTCTTGCAAACCCCCCTGGAGTACAGCCAGTAGTCCGTCCCCACAGCTATAGTCATCAGGCTGAAGGCAGCGAAAGCACCAACGGTGGTTAAAAGCATCTGAACACCTCGATCAAACAGCCCCATAATTCTTCATTATATAAACACCCAACCGACTTCGGGTTCTCAGGAGAGTGTGTGTGAGGGTGCGAGTACCAACGCCAAAAAAAAAAAAAATTAAAGATAATTCCACTAATAATAAAATGGATAGATGTGTGAATTGAGTGTGGAGAGATTAAAAAAAAAGGAAGGTAAGAAAGCTCACGGAAAAGAGTGTAAATTATAAAGATCACACGGGAAGAGAGGCTTGCCTTTTGAGATCAGAAACTGTTCCAGTTGCAGTGATTTAAAAAAAAAAAAAAGAAAAAATAAAAATAAAAAGACACCCCCCACCCCCCCCAAGTGAGATGCCTTAATCTCTTTTCCTAAAATTCTGGTCTCCAGTTTCCATATGTGATAGCTAATTTGGAGATGGCTTCCACAGTGAACCAGGCAGCGGCCGAGTGCTCAACACCATCTCTCATGGTCGGGACCTGGACAGTTAGAGATCCGAAGAGCCCAGATGCAACCTTCGCTCTTGGTTCTCGGCTCTGCGGCCTGCGCCATGAAAATCCTTGGCTTCGCCAGTTCTCTTCCTTGGGGGGTCCCGGGCGCTGGCGTTTCAGACCCGACTGCCCAGCCTTCGGCCAGCCCTTGATCTCAGCGGCACAGGTGCGGGGGTCTCGCCTTCCATGGCTCGGCCCCGGCGGCGGCGGCGGCGCAGGGCGGGCAGGCGCGGCGGCGGCGGCGGCAGGACGAGCAGCGGCGGCGGGTATTGTTGTTGGTGGCGGGGGCAGTGTGGGCGAAGTGGGGGAGGGAGGGGGTTTCTCCCGGAGAGTCGAGGCGGGCTTCCCTCCCCCTATCTGCAAAGCTCCTGGAAGCCGGGGAGCCGGCGTCTGGCTGCAGGGTGGGCCGCCGCCTGCCCCCTCGCTGCCCGCGCGGCCCCCGGCGGAGGCGCGGCCACCTACTGCATTCCCGGTGGTGCTGAACTGGACAGCTCCCTGCGCGCGCCGCGCTCCGCGGCCCGAGGGCGGCCGGCCAGGAGGGGGGCGCCGGCCCGAGTCCTCCCTCCCGCGGGGCAGCCGGGCCAGGGCCGAGCGGGGCCGCGCGCCTGCTCCTGCTCCTCTCCCCGGCCTCGAATGAGCGCTTCCCGGGCTCCCGGAGCTCAGAGGAAGGCGTAGCCAGAGACCGCTCGCTCCCTCTCCCTCTCCCTCTCCCTCGCTCGCACTCTCCCTGCCCTCCCCCCTTGGTGTTCCTTCCAGCTCAGCCTCCTTCTCATGCCATCCCTACGTGCCCAGAGCTTCAAATACAACCCTCCCAGCACCAGCAGACGGGCACCAAACTTCAGCCAGCCGTTCCTCTGCCTGGAAGTGGTGGCCATAGGACCCGCATGGTAATTACCGACCCGCGCCCCGTGCTGTTCTAGAGCCTCGGTCCTCGCGGCTTTTCGGTGGACCTGTTTGGGTTTATGGGCTTGGTAGATGCACCTCCTCTTGGTCGGTCCCCTCTCCCCTCTTTGTCTTTCCCCGGCGATCAGGGGGTGCGCATTGTACTGTCTGTGTCTCTCTGCAGTTTTCCGTGAAATCCCGAATCTGGCTTCTACGAGCAGACATTTTGGAAAGATTATTCATGGATCAGGGTGCGAAAGGGTGACTGGTAACTGGGGCTTGGGCCATGATTTTCATCTCGAGGATAAACATGTTTGCAGGGGGAGTGGGYGAGATGCGTATCTTTCCAAGTTTCCTCTGTCATTCATAAACGGGGCTTGGAAGAGAGAAAGCATCTCGCTGCTAGAACAGCTGAGCACCTCAGCGCCCCTCCCCCTGCTCAGCCGAATCAGGTCCCTGGGTTGGTCTCCAGCATCACCGCTGGTTATGTGCAACTTTCCTCTGATGTGACCCTGGGAAAAAGCAGCACACTAATTCCTGCTGCTGGTGATGACATCCCCCCCCATCAGTTTCATAGTTAAGTGAATGAGAGCACATGGGGTGTGACGTGGGCGCGTGCCTTTTATTTATTTATTTATTTTTGGTGTGGAGGGAGCTTGGAGAGAAGCGTGAGTTTGATGGGTCAGTTGGGGGAGGGTTCGAGATGTTTCCATCTCGAAGCTCAATCCTTCCCTATTTTCTTTCCTTTCCCCCCACTTTTTGGGTTGAGATCATTTGCCTGATAAGTTCTCAGTGGTCTGGTGGTTATCAAAGAGTAGATGAATAAAATGACTGAATTAAAATCCGATTCTTCAGCGTGGAAAGCCCCTTGCCTGACTCCAAGCCGATTGGCAGGTCGGGCCCATGCACTCTTCAGCGTGGAAAAACTACCTGTTTCTCCACCTTGCACCGAACTTTCCTTTCTTCCACCCTCCTCCTGGGAAGGACTCCTAGGAGGGGCCGTTGCTTTGCTTCTGGTACAGGAAGAGGAGACAAGAACCGAGACTCTCTCAGCTCTGCCCAGTGCCTGCAGGCTGAGGGTAAAGACTGCTCCAGTTTGGTTTCTGTCCTGTGAAGCCGAGCTGGGAGCTGGGAGGGGAGGGCTGGTCTGCGGATCCCACCAGGCAGGGGACCTAGCAGTCCACCAGTGGCCCCAGTGGGCCATTTTCCTTGGTTGCTGTCCTTGAGGAAAACAGGAGGGGCAGGCACCCAGGCCTCTGAGGTCGCCCGGCTGTTTGGGGGGTGGAGAGAGCCTTGGGTGAGGTCACATGGCCTGGGAGGCTCGCCCTCACTCATGCCTGTCACCTTGGATGCCTTTGACCTGTCAGGAAGCCCCTTCACACTGGGGGTAGGGCCCTTCTTCTCATCCCCTACCCCTGAACCTTTTGCTTAAAAGGAACAGGAGCTCTGAAACCTCCATTTGTCTGTAGAAACAGCTCGCCCCAAGCCACCGATGGTGGCTGCAGCTTTAGCAGCATTTGATTAATCTTCTGGCCAGATCATCATTGAGAAAAGCACGGGGGGGGGGGCAGCTCTTCAGCTGCCTGCGGGGAGAGAGCAGAGACCTCTGGAGACCGGCAGGCCCTGAGCACAGCTTCACCCCGCTGCTCGGTGCCCGCAGGGCTCCCAACAAGTTGGCCCTCCGGAGCTTCAGTCTCACTGTGTGTGAAGCGGGTACCGTAGAACCTGCCCACCCCGTTCTGAAACGGCTCCCGGCTTCCCACTACGGCCACCCGTTGAGACCTCTGTGGTCACCTCTGCGGCTCTTGATTGGGGGTGTGTGGTCCCTCATTACCTTGGAGGTCAAGGCTGGTCTCCTTCTCTATCTCATCTTTGGGCCCTAACGCAGGGCTGGTCCCAGTAGAAGCTGGCTGGTGACAGTGAGGACCGGGTGGCAGAAGACAGTGATGGCTTCGGCACAGGCGGATGCTCAGCCAGGGCAGCTCTCCTCTCCCCCCAGTTCACATGCAGAGCGTCTTCGGTCTCTTTGATGGAACACTGGTGCCACGCACCTCCCCCTCCCCATCCAGCTGTCCCCTGTAGGTCCCTTCTGCAGACAAGGCAAGGCCACCCGGGAAGACTTGGCTTGGCATGGGCCCGTCAGAAGGTTGGGACCCGCCAGGACACGTACTTMGTGCTGCTGAATGGATGCTCTGGGGGAGCAGCTTTGTGAGCCCACGGTTCGTTACTTGGGAAGGGCTTAGAGGAAATTAGCCGAAATGCCACAGGCCTATTTTGAGCCTCTTCTCTGATGGAGTGGAAATAACAGGGGATTTGGGCACAGCGGACCTGGCCTTGAAGCACAAGTCTGCAGTTTCCTGTTTGACCTTGGGCACTCTCTTAACCCCTCTGGAAATTGGCCTCTTTGCCTATCGGGGAGCAGCATGGATAAGGGTGTCAGGGTGCGGTGGTCAGTGCTCCATGTGGGTAGCGATGACACCAGCTAGTAGTGTTCAGTGGGCACGGGCAGTCGCCAGGCCCTCACCTGAGTTGGATCCACAGCCGTCCTGTGAGGAAGGTACCCTCATCATTCCCAATTTACAGATGAGAAAACTGAGTTGCACAAGGGTTCACGTATCTGGCACGTGGTTGTGTTGTTAGTGACAGGAGGAGTGGGGCGCCTCGTCCAGCAGCCTGACTCAAGAGCCTGTCTTGATGGCCGTGTCCTGGCCCCGGAGAAGAGCTCTCCACGTTACACAGGGCTGTTTACTTTGCACCCACAGATTTGCAAGCATTTATGGAGTGACTTCCAGGTGCCAGGCATTTTCACACAGATGTTCACACTTGACTCTCAAACCATCCTGCAAACGCTCGGTAATGACTTTTCCTATAGCTGAATAAACAAAGGCTCGGTGAGGTCACATCCCAAATCCCAAGGTCATACATCAAGTCCTGCAACGGCAGAGATATGAACACTGCAGGGTTTCAAGTTCTGTTAGCACCAAGTCCAAAGTCGATCCTTTCATTCATTATTCATTCAGAGAATTGAGCACCTACTGTGTGGCAATGCCCAAGAGGGTGAGAGGGCAGATATGGTCACTGCCTCCAGGCTCTGCAGAGGAGCAGGAGGGGCAGGGAGTTGGGAGTCCACGCCCAGGAGACGGAACCGGTGCGGGATGTTGTGGGGCCACACCAACCGCGGTGGGGGGGACATTTAAACTGCCGTGTGGGAATGAGGAAGAGGTAGCCAGGTCAAGGGGGGTGGGTAGGTGGGCGGGAGGGGGCTCCAGGCTGGGAGAGCTGCCGGTGCAAAGGCTCAGAGGTGTGGGAAAGATGACTGGCAGTTTGGGGACAAAATACTAAGTCAGGTGGATCCTGAGACGAGGATGAGAATGTTCTAGACTAAGCACCTGGAGGCTGTCGAGTGGAGGCTGGGGCAACCTGGGGGAGGCCGGTGGGGATCGGAGGCTTGAGAACCAAACCCGGAGGCAGGGAGGCTGTCAGGCAGGTGCTGTGTCTCCACGCTCCAGAGGGTCAGGCCTGGGGCCGGTGTGGGCAGTGGGGTGGGGGAGGGGGGTGGTCAGAGGCGTTTGGGAAGAATCGATCCATGCGGGATGAGCAACTGTGAGGGAGGCGTAGGCCGGCAAGAGGGCGCTGCAGGGAGCCAGAAAGAGCCCAGAACTCTGCTTTGGTCATTTAGCCAGTGTCTGCCACATGCTGTCCCCTTCCTGCCCTGTTCCTGTCTCTCAC